TTCAGCTGTTCCATAAGGATGAGAAATCTACTAAGGGAGTATGTTTTAACTATGGTATAATGTGGGAGTGTGTTGAACTATATTTGTCGTCATATTCAAACTAAGTTATACAGTACAACGAATATACATTTCAGGCAAAGATAACCTCTCAAATCGACTTCCAACTTGATTTTCAATTTTGCAAATGCAAACAAGCAGCTGTTAAGAAAGTGATTCAATCATTTAGCTTATTGCGATTAGATTAGTCTAAATAAATATACATCCGCATGTGTAACTCACTCACTGATCAGGTATACCCTTTCTAACAGACTTCTAGAAGAGCTAGGGATCTTAAGTTTGGCAGGACTAGGTTTAGTCCCAAAACCACCCAGAAAACTTTCAAACGAAACCTTTAGAGACCACAACCCCAAAAAATAAAAGTAGTGGATTTTAGAAAATTTATGGAAAGGTGATTTAAAAACGTTTGTGGGGGGCCAAACTGTCGGTCGAATCAAAATACGGAGAGCAAGTGTCCTTTATTTTAAACGAGTTAGAACTTTGCAATTTAAAGTTAAAGTTAAATTGCGATAAACATACATGATCTTACTTAAGTGCTTCTCTTCCACCATTTTCCTTCAATAGTCCAAACACAATCTACAAATTAATACTTTTAAACTATACAAGGTGTCCAATCGACTCGTATTATCCAACGTTTATCATCCAGTCAGGTATTAGCCTTTACAAAGTGGACCTGTGGATGGGGGAGACAGGGGGGGATGTTAGAGGGTCCAAGTACCTTCTTGACCTTGTGCCAACCTCTCAACTCTGTCACCGAGCTGTATTGGCTGCGTCAAGTTTTATCAAAATTTATTTAGCAGCACAATCATAGTGTATTGAACGGTTTGGTACGATTTTATATTAGTTTATTATTTTATTTGGTAGCAGTCTCAATTTCCCCTAACATCGTTTGGTGATACAATTTACAATGGCGAAAGTAATCGTCACCTAAGTTGACACCTAAGGGCGAAAACTACTAGAATAGTAGTGGGTGTAGTAAAGAACATGGTGTGGAATTAGATTTGAATTAAGTCGCTTGACCACGACGAAAGACTTGAATTGACTGGAAACCCTAAATGTATAGCGTTCCAAAACAAATTAATGACTAAAAAAATACTTACAAATTTTTCATACATATAAATTTGCTTTGTTAGCAACTGAAAGGTTGTAAAAATCAAAAAGTTTTAGTTTTTTTCCAAATCATAATTATATGTTAGTATTTTGTAAGAACAGGTCGAAAAAGGTCGTATACATCAATGTATTTGTAAAAACTCCTCAAATGTGTTGAAAGCCAATGTTTCATTTTTACTTTCTCCCCCTATACCATAGTACATATATGGAGAAAGTATTGTTTTCGTAAAAATTTTCGAGTTTGAGTTTTGAGTGGATATATTCGTTTTGGGTCCCCCTGGACCCAAAAAAGTGGTTTTCGAAGTGATGTCTGTGTGTGTGTCTGTGTGTCATAGTGTCATGGTGTCTGTGTGTCTGTGTGTCTGGATGTGTACAGAGCTAGAGACTACACCTGTTGTCCGATTTCGATGAAATTTGGTATCTAGGTTCTAATCCATACTATCTCCAGGCGTTTTTTTCATTTTTTAGAAATTTTGATTTTTAATGGGGATTTTCCCATAAAACCCATAAAAAACCGGAAAATCGAATTTTCTCAAAAATGGACCGAACGATTTTGATAAAAATTTAGTATGTTGTAGCCCTTTAAATTCTGAACACAATGGTACAAATCCCATTTCTGTAAAAATTACGGTTGAAAAGTTATGGTAAATTATGTTATTTTCCCATAAAAAAAACCCATAAAACAATATGAAAAATAGGATTTTAGAAAAAATCTGGTTTTGATTTAACATAGTATGTTATGGTCCTTACAATTTTGAGTTTTTTTTTCATTTTTTAGAAATGTTTATTTTTATGGGGATTTTTCCATAAAACCCCATAAAATAACGGAAAATTAGGATTTTCCCAAAAATGGCCCGAACGACTTTGTTAAAAATGTAGTATGTTATAGTCCTTTATATTCTGAACAAAACGGCACAAATCCCATTCCTGTAAAAATTACGGTTCAAAAGTTATTGTAAATTATGTTATTTTCCCCATAAAAACCCCATAAAATAACGGAAAATCGGATTTTCCCAAAAATGGCGTAAGCAATTTTGATAAAAATGTAGTATGTTATAGTCCTTAAATTCTGAACAAAATTGTACAAATCCCATTTCCGGATATGAGGTTGTTGACAAACTTATGGGAGAAAGTATGTTTCAGAATAATGATACCGTTTATTAATAGTTTATTTTATGACTTAATTGCTGAGATCAATATTTAACACCCCCTATTATTTTTACTGATTGGTAATGGCCAACTAACTATATACATATTCATTTTAATTACCGTGCCTTTTTAAACTACCATTTGAACACTAAATAAGGATTTTACGTCAATGTTGAAGTTATTGAATGTTATTGAATATATAACAATACTAATGTTATTCAAATTGATTTAATTGAAAATCAAATCAGGGAAATGGAAACTCACATAATCTGCAGGTTTGCTTTGATGGGGGTATTTTGCCTATTCCATGAAATGCACAGACGGTAGTGCAACCTTTGATTGCAAGGAAAGTGAATAGGTTGCTGCAGATCTCTGTAGGGAGTTGAGAACACAAAACACTGAAAGATTTTTTTTATTTTAGTTTTTAACGGCCGCCATTTTGAAACGACTTGATCAAACTCGACCATTGACAACATAGGCTGAGATAATGTATTCAAGCACTTGTGTGCCAAAATTTCATAAAAATCGGTTCAGTCATTATAGCCAATGCATGGCGACTCAGGATCCTCTTACGGCCGCCAAATTGATGACGTCATTGCGGACGACCGAGGTCCTTAAAAATTGGGGTCTGGGCGGTTTTAGGTTCAAAAAATTGTATTCTATAACCACCTAAAATGTCAGCCTCCCCGCCAAACTGAAATATTTTCCTGCTACCCAACCCGACTAATCTTACTATACATAAGAAAACTGTTTATAGGAACGTTTTGCGTTTATCGCATAAAAATGCCCATCTATTTGAGTATTTGCAAGGCAGACTAATGTGTTTCGGCTGGGAGGGAGACAAACTCAGAGCCGTAGCGCAGTCTTTGGCTATGACACCTCATGCCGATAAATTTAACCACCCCTTAACGAAGGCGGAATACACAATCCCCCTTGCCCCTTTCTGAGGTGGTGGAACAACGTTCACAACAGGAGGGAAATTGTTGTTTCAGCCTGGAGGTTACTTCTCTGCGTTCAGATATCACACAATAAAGACGATAATTACTCTGATTTACCGTTTTATCAGAAAATTGAACAAGTAATTAACCAAGAACTCTTTAAAAACTTGGAATCTATCAAAATTCCTGGCGAACTGTTAAACTATGCATATGTCAAACTTAAGATCAAACTAAGGTCTTCAATGCAATTACTCACTTTCCACTCTTGTTATCAAATATACCGTATCAGTTCAAAAACAATTTCAACGTTTTAACAACTCTAAGTTAAATAGTAATGGCAAATGGATCCATATAATAGTTATTCAAATATTACAGTGGTATGATTACAGCAGATACAGATAATTTGAGTTAATTTATGATGCAAAGAGTTTATTTATGGCTATTTAGAAGACATGTAAAACTAATATGACACTAAATTTAAAAGCCTAATGGGTACAACTTTAATTAAGGTTTATTAATACTTTTTTAAACCTTGCTCTAACTGATTTAATATCCTATGACCATATACAACGAAATTAATTAGATCTGCGCTGTATCAAGTGACTAATGTAACGACATTGATTCGAAACACGAATTTAATTATCGACATTTATAGCTCCAACTGTATTTAGCAAAGCCATACATATTACTTTGTTACTTGATTACGTTTTCGTTAGATATTTATATTAAAACTATTAAAAATACAACTATTGATACATTTGTCCGCAATATTTACATGAACTGATTCAGAAATTCAGAACATCACAAGTGTACGAGGTTAACTCCGAATAATTGGTAAAATGTATGTTGAAGGCAAAGTATATAATCAGGCACTCTATACATTGCCTTCAATGAACCAGGCATATAAGAAATAATGCTCATTGCCTATCTATTCTATAGAATCCCCGTTGGCACTGCAGGTATAAAAATAAAGTATCCACACAAAAAATATAGTATAAAAATACTGTTAAGGATTCTTTTTGGACTTTTGTATCCTTGTTTGCATTGATTTATTTAATCTAAAAAAAAACCTAACCTAACCATAAACTATATTTCACTATTCTCAAAGATTTTTTTAAAGTCTGTTAATTCCTTTTTTGGTATTAGTTTACCTTTTCTAAAATGAACTAATATTACCTAACCTAACCTTACACAAAATAAAGTAATACTGTTAGGTAAATAGCTCTTTAACAAAAATCTTCATTTTTTACTTTCCCTGACACACTTCTGGGCATGCTATAGAATGCCTAGTATTACCATTACACAAAATTACTAATCAAAGTGTATAAAATCCTATCGTTATTACTACATTTCATACTTAGCCAAAAAGCTTCAGGCATTGTAAAGAATGCCTGAATTATATACTTTCCGGTAATATATACAATTTTTATCCAAACTGTTCTACAAATTCACATTATGGTGGTACACAGAATTTCGATATTATCTATAATTAAAATACATAAAACTGTTCACAAGTAATAATTTGTGTACAATTTGAACACTAGGTTAGATGGAACTTGTACTTGGACCTTACATCTCATACTAACCTATCATCTCACCGGATTCATATCAACTCTACAACGTTACAAACAGTGACACATCTGTCAGATCACAAGCTGTCTCTTTGTAGACCTGAACAACCCCAACACAACAGACAACCCCAACACAACAGACAACCCCAACACAACAGACAACCCCACAACTCACCTTGATAGGCTAGAGCCAGACGTAGCATGAGTGCGAGAGAGATGCATATATGTGATGACGTCATGTAGATTGTGTAGACTACGTGTAGACACTGAGAGTGTAGACTTATCTCACATGTTCCCGTTGGTAGACTGAGGCTGTGATGTAGACAGGAGGTTGGTGCGACTGCGCGAGGGGTGGCGGGAGAGATCAACAAGTATCCACCAGGAGGGTGTTTGATCAAAGTCTCTCCGTCTCTGTTTTGATCACAGAACCCTTGGATACAGAGAATTATATAACTTGCTACTCTCACCTATCTTGTGTAACGAATGTGTATTTTTGTCAACTAATGTCTTAGAAATATTGGTGTTTCCAGTTATAAGACAATCACCATAATCTACGTTGAAACAAAACTATTAAAAAATAACCTTGAGGGTTGGATTGGGTTAGGAAAGGCAAGGTTAGAACCGAATCATAATCTAAATATCACATTCTGTATTTTTCCATCTTCCATCTTCCATCTTCTATTTGTGCTTACAACATTAACCTATAAATATACTAATTTTAACTCAGTATTCAATTTGAAGCACCACAAACCCCCCCCCCCCCCGATCGGGGGTGATCTTACCCGTTTTGAGGTTTTCAAGAAAAATTCGTTGGTAAGATTTGGGTTAAATGTGATTGAATATAAATTAGTTTAAATTTCCACACTAGGCATGATGAAAATTTGAAATCTTTTGAATCATCTTCAGATCATTAAATATAGTACAAATTCATATTGTAGTAATTATTTTAAATTAATACGTCAAACTATTTCAGTCAGAAACAAAGATAATCATTTCCCCTCTAATTGCTCAGTATCTAAGTATTAAATACCCAATGCTTTATAACGTTTCATTTTACGGTTTCATTGTCAAAAGAGTTCTGCTAACAGAAACTGTCAAGAAGTTTGCTTTCCAAATAATCATGCTCTAGCATACTTTTCATTATAAATTATTAAAAGTAAGGAGGAATAATGCAGTTTGTATTTTAGATGTCTATTAATTTAGAGTTAATACGCAAAGCTCATAAGAATCCTAAAAGATTTTTAGGATATACATATTCTCTTCACTTTATAACGGTAAATTTACAATAATATATGAGCCACACAAAATATACTACTGATTTTAAGGCCAGTGAAGAAAAAAACAAAATTAGGACATTAAAATTGGTCCAAACTTCATCACGGATTGAAACGATTAGAGAGGAGAGAATATAATTTAGCTTTAGGCTTGAGTAGTATCAAATAGGAAGATTTAGAGATTTTACCTTGAACTATTTTATTCTTTGTTAACTTGATTTGTCCTGAGGTTAGGTATTTAGTGATAAAGAAAATAGTGATAGAGAGGAAAATTACTTAGAACTTGTTAGATACTTTGATGGAGAAAAATTACAATATAATAAAGAGTAAAAATTATTGAGTACAAACAATTCATATTTTTGTCAACATAAACAGAATATTTAAAAAACAACAATAAAAATAAAGAACACATGTTAGTATTAAAAAACACCTAAAACATGTGTTAGAGCCAGACCAAAGGCAAAACTAGTTGAATGTTAAAAAATATTATGTCTTGGAGACAAACTTATGGCAAAATGTATTTTAAATCGATAGAATACTTAACACGGATATAACACGTTTACAGAGTTATAAAAAATATCAATTCGTATCGTTCGCGTAGAGCTAAATAATACTTTATTGGCGTTCCAATAAACATATTCTTGAATCATTTGGATTTAAAATAGTCGTGTAAATTTTAAGACATTATCAAGACATAGTAGTTGATTTTGCTCAGCTTCTTTTATCAAGCAATAAAACTAGCTGTGGATCAATATATTTTGCTCCCAATCACTGAAAAACTTAACAAATATCACTGGTGAAATTGTAAAGAGTATTTTTGAGTCTCGATGAATTCAACAGAAGTTAAACTGAAATAAACATAGACACATACCCAGTCAAGTAAATTCCTTAATTTCATTCGGTAGACACGAATTGACAATGAAACATTTACACATTCCGTCTGAAGGTAAGACTGATCACATCTCTTCACCTCAATTGCTTTCAGTTCCTGAATTATTCAGAAGGTTCTTCGGCAAATCCACTCGATTCGTCCATATGAAAAGATCACAACTTAAACAGCTTACGGTTTTATATGTCTAGTACCAGTTTTATCAGTACCGAATAAAATACAGATAGACCTTTAAATAGTAAAATTGTCATAGTATTTTGTCAACTATTTTTCATGTAAACAGCTCTAAAGTTAAATAATAGAGTTTGTCGAACGTTAGGAAATTACTTTATAATCTTGAAGACGCATATTCCGCACTAATATACTGGATGTGTAGCAGAGTAATCAGATTGAAAAAAAATCAGGTAAAGTTGCAGTTCCATTTCCGACTTAACCAACAACACAAAATTAAGATAAACCTTTTAAACAATAATCTAGTAACAATTGTTTAGTTAACTATCCAACTTAAATTTGTAAAATAAAAAAAAGTGGTAGGTAGTGAAAGTAACGAAAGCAATATTGTAGTAACATATTGCTATATGATATTTTATTCGCTTCGCAAACTATTAATTTATTTTAACCTCTTTACACCTAACTTATAAGATATTTTATCTTTTTAACAAAGCTTTGGGGTCAAATGCCTTTCCTCAATACATGTAATTTCAACATAATTTTGAAATATTATCAATTATTCGATTTTAATTACAAACATTGGATAGCTTTTAATCCAAGGGGGAAGTTTATATACAGGGTTTTCATAAAATAATGGTGGGGTTCTAACTGTCTGTAAAACTAGTGTAAGACAAATTCAATATTTTATATTGATGCCCCCTGTATCCGGTAGCTTAAACAGTTTTGTTTATATTAATTGAAACAGCTGTATTGATTGCTAGTTGACAACCTACTCATTCTTTTAAATAAATTTCAAGTTGTATTTTCTTATAACATTTTTCCGTCAAGAAAACGGCTAAGTGTGTACCTAACTAAGTTATAAGTTAACTAAAGTCAGTGAATCTAGTATAACGACCATTTAGGATGTAAAAAACATAGTTTATGAAAAAAAATTGAAATTTAGCCCATCTGCTAGTATGAACCAGGGATGCAGTCCCCATTGTAACAAAAATGCTGTCGGCTGAAATAGATCTTCGTTTGGACGTATGTAGAGCAAGAAATGGTTGTCATGTTGAAGCTTATTAGCTATGTATAAAATCTTTTTTATGTCAGGAACCCAACAAAATATACAGGGTGTCCCGGAACTCTCTACCAATATTTTAGGGCATTGATCCTGGGTAAGAAACGTACCTAAATATCATATTTAAATTGTCCGGAAGTCCTTAGTTACTCACACAGCCGCCATTTTGTTTTTTTCAGTTATTAATTTTTTTCTAAAGAATGGTTAAACATACGAAATGGAAACTTTGCACAAACATTTATGCCAACTAGACAAAGCTACAAAAAAATTATGAAGATTTTTCAAATTCATAAAACAAAATGGCGGTCATTTAAAATTTTCTTTCTTAAATAACTCAAAAGCCATTGATTTTACAAAAATTTTAAATGGCCGCCATTTTGTTTTATGAATTTGAAAAATCGTGACAATTTTTTGGTAGCTTTGTCTAGTTGTCATAAATGTTTGTGCAAAGTTTTCATTTCGTATGTTTAACCATTCTCTAGAAAAAAATTAATAAGTGACAAAACAAAATGGTGGCTGTGTGAGTAACTAAGGACTTCCGGACAGTTTAAATATGATATTCAGTTATTTTTCTTACCCATGAGCAATGCCCTAAAATATTGGTAGAGAGTTCCGGGACACCCTGTATAGTTTTTTTTGTATCTTTTCTAGTTTTTTTTAATTTCATAACTAAATCCAACCATTACTTTATGGAAACCCTGTATTTATACTTAACACTACTTAATAGTAAAGTCAAATACCCCCACCGCAGCAAACCTGCCGTCTAAGCGAATTTCCATTTGGCCGAATTGATTTTCAATTGATCTATTTAATTAACATTATTAGGTTTAACGAGTACCTAGGTTTGCTGCTACAAGGAAACTAATAAAGTAGTGTGTTTTTAGTAAAATATTGATAGCTTACTATAAAATAAATAAATTTGCCAAGTTTGATCAAAATATATCCATAAACAAGCAAACTACAACATTTTACAATATTCTCCATAAGAATAACATGGGAATTTTAAATTCACCATTTTTTTAGTTTTCTCCGTAACCAATAACCGTACGAAAACACTTTTATGTACTGAATTGTTTGTTTTTTAAGCTCCTTAAGAAGGTTTAGAGAAAAATTGGGAAATTTTGTGTTTTGAGGGTAAGAAGTGAGAAAAACCAATTTTTACCCCATAAAACCCCCCATAAAACCCTGTTCCCATGGTCCGATCATGCTGGATCGCGAACTCATTCAAGTTTATCCCGCCTTACACCTTCAAACCAAATTTCATCAAAATCGGATACAAATTACTCAATTTATCGTGTTCACGGACACATATATATATATATAAATCTATATATATATATGTATATATATATACATATATAAAAATTTGAACGAATGGTGTTTTTGGCCTCTGGGGACATTAAAATGAAAAAGTAAATCGGTCCCGGGCCTAAGTCTTACCATGAGACCTACGGTAATAGCTACTTCCCTATAGGAAAATTCGCTAAAAGGGAAAAAATGTAAAATGAAAAATACCCCTTCTATAGAAGAAGGTTTTCGACATTCTTTGCTTACTTTTTGCAATTTAACCTAGAATAAATCCAAAAAATATTTTTAGACCTGCGAAACATCCTAAAAGGTTCATATTCTGATTGATTTTTCAAAAACAAAAATTTAAAATGCAATAAAAGATATTATCAATGGAGAGTGTGCATGGAGTATAACAACATTGAATAATGTAACGCTTTTCATCTCGGTATGAATTCATTTCCAACGCCTTTGTCAGCCAGACAGTGATTGTATAGATGCTCATCTGGTAATGGATCTTTTGCTAGTGACATGCCTTGAAATATCTCCAGTTGCATTATGGGATTGTGCTTTTCCAGCTTTTGAATCTCATCTAACCCTAAATATATTTTTTTAAATATCAACATGTAGTGATATAATATGAGTGTAAGTTTGAGAGGTATTATTTTAAAATCCACCATAGTGGCGTAAATATATTTTATAGAAAATCCAAAACGCTATGAAGGGTTTAAAAATACCAAACTTTTGTA